TTAGTCAAAAAAGAAGTCTCACCCTAAAAATGAGTTAATTCCAGGCTGCCGCTGGACCAGAACATAGCTTGGAGGACCAGTATCAGATAAATAAGATGCAAATATGTCCTTTGTTTAATAACACACACCACCACACACACACACACACAACACACACGCACACAATCTCTTTACCCGGCACTTGCAGTTCGTCTCTTTGACGATTTGGGAGAATCGTCCTCGTGACTCAGACCGCGCCCGTCGGGTCCAGCTGGCCAAACTGTCAAACACACGTCATCGGTTTAATGAAACTGCCAATCAACCGTCAAAAAGTCATCTTCAGTCGCAGCGAACGAGACGAGGATGAGGAAATGAGATGCAGTCAGAGAGGAACCTCATCAATTATTATCGGCTACAAGGAGTTCCTTACACACTGTGTGTTCACTGACTATCTATTCTTTGTGAGGACAAACGTACACTGGCGTTGAGGACTTTTTATTGTGTTTTAGGGTTGGAGTGAGCTTTAAAAGAAGTGAATCCATCATGTATAGGACGAGAGCAGCCATATGTTTGTCAGTGTGGAGCAGTTTGAACCTTAATAACTCCCATTAACTGGAGCTGACCTTCTTCTAATAATGAACCCAGGCAGAAAGTAAATATGAGCCTTTAATAAGGTTGCTGTACCTGTCATCAATTAACTAGTTCTGTATTTAATATATAACACGCGATTGGTGATCAAAAGCATCGAATATTCTTATTTTTAAATTACAACGGATGTGCTGCTCTCGTCTATCAGTGTCCCACCCACTGTAACCGCCGGAGAGGAGATATTGATCAGGCAGCGTCAATAGCCGCGCTGAAGGTTAAGTCAGTCTTGTTAGTGGACTTGTCGTGCAGCAGGCTGGTCCAGGGTCTATCTGCAGTCTGCTTCACTGAGCTCTTTTGTTCAGTCAGCTTCAGCTTCACAACAGGTCAGCTCCTCCTCCAGACGACCTGCTCTCCTGAAACACACAGAACACAAACAATAACCACACTGAATCACACACACATTATATAAGGGCTTGTGGCCAATACAGAGGTTTGTTTCTATGACAACAGGGAATCCAAATGTCGCTTTTATTTAATGATTTAATTTTCATTGTTTTGTCCCCCAGAGTTCGGGTCTGTCGAGGTTGTTCCTCTCCCAAGGTCTGCTCATGGTCGGTACCTGGTTGCGGTCTCTAGTAATGTTAAAATTGAGTATCAGGTCTGGCCTGCTCTGATTAAAGGTCCTGAGAATAACTTCTGTTAGATCAAATAAAGTTAAATAAAGACATGTAATGTAATAATCTGGGTCTGTAAAGCTCTGTAGTTTCAACAGACATATTATACAGTGTATAAATACAAGTTAAGTAGTGTTAGATTGTGTGTTGTGCGATGTGTACGCACCTGAGTGTTACGCTGCAGAGCTCCTCCTGTAGCTCCGCTCCTGCGCTCTGAGCAGCGCAGCTGTCTGCAGCTCGCCGCGTCTCTGTCCGCCTGTGCAAGCAAGCGAGCCGCAGATGCTTCAATACCGACAGTCCGGCAGCAGCCAATCAGGAGCCGTTCGAACCTGAGCGACGGAAAAACCGACCAATAGGAGACGAGATGTGACCGGCGATGGGGTCTCCTCTTCGCAGTAGACAGGGGCGTGTCTCCCGCCTCCAGAGACATGTGCTGCCTTCAGGGCTGTCGGAAATACTGGTACTCAATCTAATCAGTGAGGTACGGATATTTGTTATAAATGTAAATTTAGAAATAATTGTTGTATCTATTGTGTTGTAAATATGTATTGAGATTGGAAGTTCAGTGTTCATTTTTAAAGTGGTTTACAAAACAATCTCACCTCAAAGTCTTCTAGTAATTCTCAATATATAGTTATATAATAATTCAGCTACCAATGGACCTTGTTACATTGTTCTGTCAACTCTATAAATATACTAAGACAAGTGACCAAACTAAGAATTATACTAGTATTACTATTATACTAAAAATGTATTTTATTTAAACAGTTGCATATCTGTTTTTGAATAGTATTCATAGTATAGTAGTATAAATCCCATTAGGCTTTAGGGGTCTACATCAGTACCTACTATTACTGTTGCTCAAGCTCTCTAAGAAGACTCCCCATATACATATAACGTTTTACAAGAATATTACATACATATAACAATGTATTCTGCAAGCAACGTGAAATAAATATAAAACTCTGTCACTCAGTGGTAAAATTTCAAGTCAGGTTGCTAAAATTAGATTAATCCTCCACTAACCCTGCATAAAGTAGTAGGAAATACTGAATTTCCCCCTGATATCAGTGACATTTTCTCTGTTTTGATGTGCTGCTGCATCAAAAAATAAAAGCTGTACTGACCAGATGAAACACTGCACAACAACAACAATAAAAACAATCCTCTTAAGTCACTGCATCCAGTTTTTGGTATTATTTCTGACCCGGAGCACTTGAATGCCACGCTTCACTCACAAGGGCTTACAAGGAGCACTTGAAGGCCACAGTAAGGACACAGGCTGCTCCCCCTTTGGCAGCAGGGCTGACTGGTGCTGTGGTGGGAAACAGAGGTTTCTCACAGGTGTCGAACTGATGAATAAGTTACTACCTGTCTGTCTGAACTGTAGGCAGATGAGGATTCATGGAGCAAGGGCTGATGACTTCCTGAATATGATCTGAGTGTAACAGCTGTATGATAAATAATTAATTAAACTATCAGCGCGGAAGGGAACGTGCAGTATTGCCTTTGGCATTTTCTGGACTTTGTCATGATTAATAATGATCATTTATACCATGATGTAATCCATCGTAAGGCTGGCAGGGCTCACTGAGACCCAGCAGCACACAGTTTTAGCTTAGTAAAGACTTTTCTGCTTCACAAAACTCTACAAACAGGTGAAACAGAAACACCTTTTGTCAATAAAAGGGCCCTACAAACTTAGCAACAGTGTCGAGGTACCAGTAAAGGCTGCCTAAAACTGTCACTATTGATGTAAAGTGGAACATTTTTTAGCAAGTTTGGTAAAAGAGAAAGTTTTTTTCTTTGAACATATTTCCATCCACACTGGAAACATTTGGTATTGACCTTATTTAAACATGCATTATAATATTTAAAGCCTATAGACACACACTGGCATTAGGGGTGTAACAATTTTGACTTCTAAATCAAATAATCTAGTTATTAAAACTAGTTCCTGGCGCAGTGGGCCAGCTCCTGTGGTCTGAAACAAACCTCTCACAAGTGACAAACTGTCGATCACACACACTAACAGGCAGACGAGGAAAGTGCTGAGTGTTATTGTGTTGATCTGATGTCAGCAGATTTTACTAAGCCTCAACGGAGAGACAGTTCAATCAGGAGAGACTCTGAACGTGCACAATGAAGATGAGAAGTGTGAAAAGTCTTTGGCGATTAGATCCCATCGTGATGTAATTGTCTTTGAAGGGAGTTGGTGAAGCTGTGATTAATACAGGAAACCAACTGATGGAGTCGAGACACTGGTGGTGAATGAAGAGAATGAAGATCTGGATGTGTTGAAGAGTGGAGCTCTGATGTCTGGAGGTGAAAGAGGTGGATGGGGGGTCATGGAGGAGATTGTGGCTGAGTCTGATTGGTTTAACTGAAGGAGTAAAGGCCAGCATTGTCCGCTGATTAGAAAGGAGAGTGAGAGAGTGAGGCTTAACGAGGAACTCTTCCTGATTGAACTCGACACCGAGCTTCATTTAATAAGCTGTTAAAAAGAGAAACTCAAATTGAATTGTGACTTTTGGACCCTTCCCTGACATAAAGGCAGATAACACTGAGCCTTCAGGCTGAATCACAAGAAACAGTCTTTTTTTTATTCACGTTTCATTTCTTACATTGTTCAAGTACAAAGTTAAAATGCCTTTTTAATTAGTCCATATTCATACAAGAGTAAAATAATAATAGTGCCTTTTCATTACTACGACAAACTTAAATACAGTCATTGTAAAGACAAACTTGATTTATACTCCTAACAATATATTTTTCTTATTTTCAGATAAAATTTTAGCACCTTTTGAAACACCACCAGGTCCTCCTTTTCCTAAAAGCTCATCTTTCATTTAATCCATGAGATGAGTGTCTGAATGCGCCACAGCATTGTATTTGTAGGTGTTGTGCATGTGTCTCTGCGTCTGAGCGTCGTCTGCTCTGTGTGGTAATAACAGTGTTTTGTGTGTATGTGGTTTAAGTGTATCAGTGTTGAAAACAACGCGTCACTCAGCCTAAAAGCTGTCGATAGGCGAACAGAAACATCATCACCGTGTCACCCATCATTTTAATAACATTGACTCCATTCCTCTCGCCTTTGTCCCACTGCACTCCTAAACAGAGACGTGTTGAAATAACACCACCTGACAACCGTTTGTGAGCCTTTTAAAATGAAGCTGGTTGTAACCCCTCGTCACACATTGGTTTCAACACACTCAGGAAACTCAGCTTCTTACAATCTATGATATATTTGAATGTGTTCAGTTGTCTGATCTTCCTCTTCCAAAACATCTCACAAACATCTTCTTTAAAGTCTTACAGAATATATTTTAAACAGACTTAAAATCTCTCTTTTATTAGGTCTTAACAGCCGTAGTGTTACTGTTTGTGAGCAGTTCAATCAAAGAGTGATTTGTTGTACTTGTCTTCTTTAAGGTTTTTTTTAGAGGCTTTGAGGCCAATATTTCACCCAAATGATATAAAATAAATAACATTTTCTGTGACAAATTTGTTTCTTTACACTCCTCTGACTTATGTTTGGACCCTTTGGGAAGGTTTTAAACCACTGTGTTAACGTATAACTTGATTTTACTTATATAGTTTGATTTTAACACATGCAAATAAACCACGACGTTTCGATCACACCAGTTAACGCAACCAGTCTTCATGAATTCTGTGTCACCTTGCAATTTAATAAAACGATGAATCGTTTTGTGGAATGAACATTTGTCTGCAAGAATTTTGATAAGTGATTAATTGTTTGAAGTGATTTAAATGATCTTCTTCTCAAATGTGAATATTTTCTGGTTTTCTTCTGATAGTGAACTGAATATCTTTGGGTTTTGGTTGAACTAAAGATTTGATTTTGACCTCACATTCATTATTATTATATTACTATTAGCATTCTTCTCTATTCGCTGATGTTTTCTTTTGCTCTTTCAAATGATTAACCTTGGAAATAATCCGCAGATGAATCCATAAAGAAAATAATCCTCACTTGCAGCCTTTGGTAAAACTGTCAAGCGTTTCGCAAGAAATCAGAAAATGTGAACTCAGTTATTTTCTTTCTTCTCCATGTGGTGTTATTTCAACCGGCTCTGGTTTGAGAGTGTCCTGTAGCTCATCAGTTTAACAATTTCTTCTGGCATCCTTGGGTACAATAGAACAAGTCACTATACTAACTGTAATATATGCTTTCTCTAGCCTCTCTCTCCCCTCTAGGCTGAGACTGAACTGAACTGAGCACCAACCTGGAACAGTACACACACACACAATAACAGATTATTATTGTAATTATTATTACCATTATTATTATGATCATTACTCCCTAATCTAACATGGAATCGGAGATTACACTGACTGACTGACATGCAGCACCTGGGGGAGAGGGAGTGGGGGTAGCGGGGATGGAGAGGGAGGCGGGTTTTGGGAGCACCAAGCAACGCAGGGTGGTGATGTCACACCCAGCAACGCTGTGGGAAGCCTGATAGCAACAGGCGGCCGGCAAAAACACAGTGTGTATGCACGTGTGTGTGTGTGAATGCTGTGTTTTGTAGCGAAATGAGTTTAGAGAAGTGTTTGCATTGCGTTTACAGCAAATGTGTGTGTGTGGGTGTGTGTGTGTGTGTGTGTGTGTGTGTGTGTGTGAGAGTGTCACCTGCAAGAGCACTGTAAAAAAGAGCTGAGTTTAAAAAGCACCTGAAGGTTGGTTGTATAAACGGAGAGTAAACATGATGGAAAAAACTTTGAACCTGCTGGTTTATTGTTGGTTTTTGTTGTTGTTTGTGCACGTGTGTGTGTGTGTGTGTGTGTTTGTCAGCATAGACTGCATGTGTCCAGTTGTAAGCTGGTATCTGAGGAAGGTCAGAGGATCGGAAGGCTTCCTGGAAAAAGATGGTCGTCTGAGGACCAAAAGCACCAGACTGAAAGAGATGTTTTCTCAAAAGACAGCCCTGTGTAAATAAAAACATCAATATGTAGCTTACACACACTGTCTGTGTGTGTAATAGTCTTGGAAACATTTTATTTGATGACAAGCCATTTTCTTTTACTTGCTTATTACTATTCAAGGTCATAGAGCATCTGAGTTTTTCCCAGCATGCATTGGGCAAAAGGCAGAAGAAACACCCAAGTCAGGTGGTACAACTGTATCTTGTGACATAAGGAAGGATCATTATTTATACAGGGCTGCTTCAGTCTTAGGAAATAGAAAACCAGCATATTGTCTACAGATTAAAGGTCTGCGTCTGGTTTTAGTGGATGTCGCTGCAGTAACTGGAGGACATTTAGGATCCCTATGAAGCAAAGTAGGAGCATAACTGCAAGGGCTGGTGGACTGTGACTACTGGTCACTTTAAAGTAGACATAAAATGGGCGACACTGAGATTGAGACACAAGAGAAGTTGTACAGTAATTGGAATTGCAACTTCCTTTCACCTTAAATTCGGCCCTTAAAAACTAAAAAAGATCTATCTGTGTTTTAGTTTGCGGTGCTGCTCTGGAGGTACAAACAAACTCACTGGATGAATCAAAACGTGTTTGGTGGAGCTGAAGATCGATTTTGTTTTAGAGCAGACTTTTAAAGAGACACATTTTGCCAAAACATCCACCTTCTTCTCGTTTTTAAAAGATATCCAGACATGAATACGAGATATATTTAACTATATAAGATTAAGTTACAATCTTTCCCTTTATATATATATAACATATAATAAAAATGATGCCGTTGGCTTGCATTCGTGATGTTGGAAGGTCACAATATGTGCGACCCAGAAAGCTATAGACAGTGCATAATGCGTCACACATAATGAAAGCCACTCTCATGATGGGTGAAAACAAACTGAGCCACACCAAAGTTAACCAAGCTACATAGAAAGACTCCCTCATATTGGTTTTTTCACAGTATAACTGTTTTTTCGGGCCTTTGTCTGAAGATTATTTGAACAGAAAGTACATCAACATAATGACCACTGTAGGCTTAAAATAGTGTCTTTCACTGCCTACTTAATGATACGAGCCCATTAAGTAGGCCGAGGTTTGGTACAGTGACATCTATCAATCAGGCAACTGACATAATTACTAAAGTGACAGACAGTATTATTCCAATTTTGCACCATTAAGATGAACATCACAGTCATTTGAATAACAGTAATCAATGCAATACAAGAGCACGAATGTTATTGAGTAAGTATTGCATACCAGCATGAGGCAATAAACCCATTCTTAAGATGCTACTAGTGTACAGTATATTACAATATATTCACCAAAGCATTAGCTAGCCTTAATGTACAATCACTGCCTAAAACATGACAAAAACCACCAAGAAACAATCAAAACAGTATGAGTTTTTAAACAGCACACGAGTGCTTGTTGTACAGAAACCTAACAGTGGATGTAGGTCCTCACAACTAAGAGACATGCAGCAATATTGTATATATATATGCGAATGACTATGTAATAAGTATAAAAGCTGACTTTATTCTGTCTTTATTTTACATGTTTTTCTAATCCAGTGACTGCGAACAGTAACTCTGTGGAACACAAAGGATTGACTCACCCCAACATGAGAGTGTTTCCTTGTTATGCACTCACTTTATACTGGTCTGTCTGCCCACTAGAGGGCGCTCTAAACTGTGGAGATGGAGACAGTTACAAGGCTTTCCATTACTACTATTATTAGTCTCTTTATTTTTTTATTTTGTTAATGTCAACGTCTAGACTTTGTCTCGTGTATATTTGTGTGTATTTAAGTCCCCAGGAACATTAGCTACTTCATTAGTGGAAGCTGATGTGGATTCTATTAACATTAGGCACTATGGAGATACAGGGTAACAAACTCGAACAATGGACTGTGGTATTACCCTCTTTTATTTCGATATTTCATATTGCGGGCATCACTGACAACATTTCAGCCAAAACAGGGGAAGATACTTTTTTTTTTTTTTTTTAGTTATTTTGCCACAAAAAACATGATTTTTGGCTCAACCCACTGAGGTTTAACTCAGCTACTAAAATCATTTGAACCTCCAGAGCATCTTTTACAATCTGATTAAGTTGTAGTCACGTTAAAAAAAAGGCTTCACATGAATCTATCTGAATACAGTTGCCTTTGTTTGTCTTTTTGGACGCTCCCTTTGCACACTCAATTTGACAAATAAATAGATGTTAAAAAAAATGCACCTCTCTAGCCTGGTGTTGCCTCCACATCCTTGTTAATTAGGGACACAAAACTGTAGCGACTGAAACAACCAGAGACAGTTCAGTCTCCAAGAGCACCAAAAACTTTAAAAGTGTTGTATTAAAGTGGCACCATTTGGAAATCTATCACTACCTGACCAGCACCACAAGCGTTAACTGGTGTATGTGTGTGTGTGTGTGTGTGTGTGTTCATTGCACTGTAATACACCAGCAGCACTGTCACTACGCTTGAATACAGTTTAGTTGTTAAGTGTTATGGTTCAGAGGGATTCATTGGTGTGTTGTTGTATTCAGAGAATTGTTAAAAACAGAAAATGTTGGGGCATCTCATGTCAGTGTTGCACCCCTCCTGGAGGTTTTTGAACTCCAGCTACTACGACACAGTAAAGCAAGAAGACACCAGTTTCAAGGTCGGACAGGAAGTTGTGTGTGAACAAATACAGTACAGAGACCCTGCACCAGTATGTGTGTGTGTGTGTGTGTGTGTGTGTGTAATCAGCAAGGTAGCACCAGGGGACTAAGGTCAGCCAGTGGTCTACATGGGATCTAGGGAAGCAGTCCTTTACAGTGTATATGTGTGTGTATATGTGTGCATGTACGGTCATCTTTGTCATACCGCGTCAGCCAACCTTCATGTACTAACTGTATACTGTGTGTACTTATCTGTGTGTGTGTCTGTCATGACATACTGTCGATGTGTGTATGTATGTGTGTGTGTGTGTGTGTGTGTGTGTGTGTGAGACAGAGAGAGAGAGTTGGTGGTGCGTGACTAGTTGCAGGCGAAGTACTCCTTGAGCGGCGCGAAGAGGTGCCTGATGACAGGGACGCTCCAGGAACGTCCCAGAAGCCTTTGCCTGGCCAGACGACTCATGTTGGACACGTCGGTGTAGTGGACGGGGAAACCAAACACCCTGGGAACACACAGGACAATTTCTTTTTTAGTTTAGTTTGAATTGATAAATGTTAAACAGTTTGAAAGCTATTTTAAGACATCATTTTGTTCTTCTTCACTATTAGAAATAGAAAGAAAGAAGAAAGCTGCAGCCGCAGTATCTCTGACCAGACAAACCTGATCTTACATAATCTATATAATGTCCTAAAAAATGTTTTATCTCAAAGATAACTGATCACTTTCTATTTTAGCTCCGTAAAGAAATGATCAACACCAGATTGGAAATATAAGTATAGTAATAGTAACAGTATATAGTAGGCAAACGCTACTGTAATGATGTGCATTTTATAGTAATAACACAGTTTGATTAACGTTATTGCTTTGAACAAACATGTTACTACAGCAGGGGGTGGCGTCGGGGTGGAGGGGGGTAGTGACTTTAATGTTAAGGAGAAAAGGTGTGACTTTGTTTATTCATTTAGTCTATAAAGGAGACATTGTTTACCCAAGAAATACTGTGGCAGACAGAAATGCATGGTGAAAGCAAGAATAAATCTAAATACAGCTGATGTCATTATTCTATAACATTTACTTTATAATGATAAGTTAGGCTATTTCTACTTTAAAAAGTTATTGTGCAAACCATTTACTGATTTGATTTTATTACTCTGAGGCTCAGCGTTGGGATTTTATGAGCTGCAAAAGGGAAACTAATTTTGCATGTATGGGGACATAAAAATATGAGTGGTTAAGTTAAAATATAAGTGAAACATCTGTAAAACTGAATTATTTTTAAGCTCTGATATAAGTTTAATGTTGTTTTAAGAGGAAACGTTGCACAAAAACAAAAAGGGACTACAGTTTTATACAGTATATCTGGATTTGGCCATCAATGTGTTAGAAATACAGATCAGAAAATTCCAAAAAATTAAACTTAATTTAATAAAAGGACGATTAAGGCAGAACATGCTGGAACTAAAATTAAACATAACAACACATTGTCACCTAATCAAACAGGTATACTGAGTTATTAAAGAACTACAACACCATGCAGATTAAAATACAAACACAAATCAAAAGAACTTAGAAATACACTCATATTCATTCTTTTGTGAACTTGTGAACATCCATACAGGATCAAATTAGAGGGCAATAACGCACACAGAGCAGAGGCACAGACACAAACACACACCACTGTACCTTTCCATCTCGGTACACCAGAGGATGTCCTCCTTGTTGTCCATGAAGACGGGGAAATGCTCATCTTTCCCCTGCTTCACAGAGTTGGAGCGTGTCGTTATGGTACGCAACTTCTCAAACTGGAATTAACATCCAGAACCAAACACACACAAACACACACAAACACAGACAGACACACACACGCAAATCCTTATTTAATCCTACAGCTATCTTTAATTACGTAGAGCAGCTTTCTAACATAAACATTGTGATTTTAAGAACTATAGTAAGACTATACATCATTTTTTAACTTCCCAAACTTGTGTCAAAACCCTCAATCTTTCTGTACCACTCGTCAGGACATCAGATATCACAAGATAATAAGCACAAACGCACACACATACACACGCTCACAACGGTACATACCTTGGCTGTACGTCCGTGCTCGAGGCACTCTTGTAAGTCGAGCTTGTCATTCGTCATGGGTGTCAGAGGTCTGACATTAAACGAAACGTGGAGACAAAGCATTAAAACGGTGTATCAGAGGCACTTTTTCCTTCAGAAATTCATGAAAAATGTATAACGAAGTCAACAGAAAGCAAACTGATCGCAACAATGGTGTGTGTTTGTATCACCTGGACATGCCCGGCAGGTTGCCCCAGAAATAGCGAGCGCGGTGGGCAGCAGAGACCTCCTTGGCATCAATCATCACTGGGTTACACTGAGGAGGAACAGCAGGTTTACTTCCTGTTTCGTTTACTATGAACATCTTCTGTCCGAGAGGTCTGTTTATATTATCTTACTACAGCTCACGGATGTAAAATCCCATGAGCTCTCCAACAGTCTTAAAGTTTAAGATGTTTTTTTGTGATGTGAACAACATGTAACCTAATTAAATTAAACAAATAGTAAACTGCATTATGCTCAAGTTAACTGCTTAATTGTTGTTGTTTTTCGTTTGCTGTAGTTACTTATTGTGTTACTATAAAAAGCTAATAATAAAATAATAAAAGCTCTAATAAAACATTTTACAGTCAAACTGTATAATAAAGTGGGTGGTTTATGTTTCCTGACACGGCAGTAAATCTACAACCGACCTATATTTCATCTCCTGCTTCAGTCACACTGGTTAAATGTGAGTGATTCACCTGAATCTGTATTCATATTAATGTATTTTATAACCGTATTTAGTGGGTGTGTTCACGGCACCTCTAAAAAGCGTGAGATGTCCCGTTTGTCGCTGACTCCCATCGCGACCACATTCTCAAACAGCCAGAAGAACGGCCGCTCATCGCCCGGCTTTGGTCGAGCCTCGTGCAGCAGACGGTAAAACTCAAAAAACAACCTTCCGGTTCCCTCTGCAGGAAAGGAGAGAAGGTTAATATCCATATTTAATTACATTAGTTAAAATTAGACAATCGTCAGGGCCTCTGAGCATTTGTAGTTTGTAGTTCTCAGAAAATTTCAAAGACTGCTTCTTACCGTAAAGGCCTTTTCTTGCAGGGTTGACTATGGAGAGGTCGTTGCAGGGGCTTCCTCCTATCACCAGGTCAAATGGTCCCCACTCTTCGATCTAACAGGTAAAACATAGCAAGAGTTAACATCAGGAAAAAGGCTAAAAAAAGTGGTTTGGTGGAGTAAAACAATCCAATCCAATCCATCAGCTAGCACATAAGCTCTACTTACACTTACAGTTTGTGTGATCTGAACACAAGTGGCTGTTAATTCAGGAGTGAAAGTCCCCCAGTGTTACAGATTAATTAATCATTCTGCAAAGAGGAATTTCACTCACATGTTTGTGTGTTACGTTGCGTACGTCACCCACATACATGATGCGACCCTGGTGTCGAACCATGCCGACAGTGATGGAGTCTTCACACACCTCAGACGCAACGTATTTGTCAACCTGGATGCCCAAATCCTTGAGAACCAACAGCCCTGAGTGCACACACACACACACACACACACACACACATATCTATCTTCTATCTATAAAGCAAGAAATCTCTGTCTGTGTGTGTGTGTGTGTCTCAAATATCTCTGCAGATCAGGATCAGACTGACCTGAGAGTTTCAACATAGCTGCTGTGTGGTTTACGGGTGTGCAACGTCGGCTTTGTTTGGACTATAAACATAGTTAATAAATTATTTCATAAATTATTTCCGAATTCCGCTAGCATTGCCAACGATAGCAACCATTAGCCACGGCGCACCAGAGCCAATCACTGCGAGCCAAACATCCTGGAAAGTGAAAGTAAACTGATGTCTCGGTCCGTAGGACTGACGGTCGCGGTGATTTTTGATTTTTGATCACCAAACACTCCGCGAGTTTTTCGCCGGTGACAGACGCTGTTTTTTCGGGCAGATATGTAACGGAAAGAGTCGGTAGGACACGGAGACAGGGACAGGAGGGACAGACGCTTCTCCACGTAGGTACAGCTGTGGTATTTTTTTCCTCATATAATTTCCAAAGACAGTTACAGTTACTACGTTACTGTTGGTTTGGTCCTGTACGTTGCTTTGTGGGACATTTCTCTTTATTAAGTTGAGTGAGAGACCTGTGCAGTTATCAGACTGTCTGACCGACACGCCCTCACTCCGCGCCGTCGGCTTATCCGGTCACACTGTAGGCGTGTTCAAAAATAAGGCGTCCCTGATCCTCCTCTGAAGTAGCCGACATTCCCCCCCTTGCCCGCATCTGAAACTTTCACACAGAGGAGGGTGCGGAGAATTGGCCTTGCTAAAAGCCAAAATTATATGAAAACACAACAGTCAATCTACACATTCACAACAAAAACCTAAATGTCCTGACGTCCCACCTTCAAACAAACCTCATTGCCATCCATGAAAAAGCTACTTAACCTCCCACTTTTCTATAGCAATACATACTTCCTACGGGCACTGCACTAGTCTACATTACTTAGTCATTACAGTCTAAATATAAATATATATAAACATAAATCTGGATATATAAAGATATTTAACCCCCAAACTCCCCCAGTGGAGCTGCTCAGTGACTAGCTAATAAAAGACTGTGGTAGAACTGGGAAGCTTCCAGGTATGCACTTGGTGTAACTGTGTGCGTGTGTGTGTGTGTGTGTTTGAGTCTATATCTGTCAGCGATACCTTCCTGGTTAAATAAAGCTGCAGTGAGGTTTCACTGCAAAATCATTCATGTTCACAATTTGTTTAAGCAACGAGACCTAAAATGTTTATTTTCCTCAAAACAAATTCTGCACTGAGTGTTAAAATGTATCAATCAGTTAATCGTTTCAGTTATTTATCCAAAACAAATGCTTAACATTCTCTGGTTACAGTCTCTCTCTCTCTTTTGTTCTATATCGCTGTTTAATTTTTTAACTAAAAAACTAAATGAACACACCAGCTGGAGCTCTGGGAACTATTGATTAAATAATTAATAAATTGACAAAAAATGCTAAACATCAGCACGCTAACATGTCAGCAGGTATAATATTTTACCATGTTTACCATCTTGGTTTAGTGTGTAAGCATGCTAAGTTTTGCCAACTAGCACTAAACAAAGCAAAACAGGTAATTAGTTTTGCAGGTATTTGTTCATAAACAAAAGTATTAGACGGCACTACAGAGTAAAGAAAAGTTAACAGATCACCAGACTTATAATAATTCATCCTGAGGGAGACATGAATGTAAATCTAATGAAAATCCATCCAGTAGTTGTTGAGTTTACTCAACACTGCAACTGTCAACCTCATGATGTGGCCAGAGCAAAAGTCACAGGATCACTAAAGTCAGTAGGATTCATCTTCTGGAGACCATGAATATCAATCCATCCTATAACTGTGGACTGACTGACATCGTCGATTAATAAATGAATTAACAGATCATGCACATTAGTTGCAGTCTTGCTCATATGTACCTGTGGCAATGCCGTCGAACAGGGAGAGAACTCTGATTGGTTTCCTCTTCTCTGCTGCAACTGGAGGATACAACTTGGCTGGCTCCTGAAGCACAATTAGGAGTTAAAAGGAAGAAGAGACACTGATGAGAACGGACAGATACTTCAACAGCTTTAAGGCAGAACAGCACATAACACAGCAGCTTTATTTATGATGACGATCTGCTCGGCAAAAGTCTGGATGGAGAGCATCAATAATTAAATGTGAACATGGTCTGTTTTGATGTGTATTAGCCGTCATGGATAATTTAAATGTGACAGCCCTGGAGCAGAAGCTTCACTGATCCCCAGATGTTAATGTTCGACGTTTAACTGTGATGTATTTCGTCTAATTTTTCTAGTTATGTTATGATAGCAGATTAGATACAGGATGGCCAATATATTCCATTTACTACACCTAACTGACGTACTAACGTTGTGTGGACTGAAATTACTGTATTGCTATTATAGAGTTGAGTTATAGGAGTTCACTCAAGTGTAAGATTTTGAGGCACTTGTTACTTACTTAATGCTACTTTATATCTCTACTCTTCTACCTTTTACTCCACTACATTTATTTGATTTGGCTACTAGTTACTTTTAAGATTTAGATTTCAAATACAACATATAAATCAGCTTCAAAATTGTGATATATTCTGTATAAAGTAATTCAAATAAGACCCACATTTACCAGCTCCATTTACATTAAAGTGAGGAACGTATCAATTAATCACTAATTATTTTCCAGTAATATAATATATCAGCCATTCTGCATTATGACTACTTTTACTTTTAGTACTTTACACTTTTTTTCCCTTTTACTTTATTAAGTAAATGTTTATTAATTAGTACTAATCTAGGACTTTTACTTGTATTTGTACATTGTAGTAATGCTACTCTTAGTTATATTCAAGATCAAATGAGCCCTAAAAACAAATTCAATTAAAAAAAGTTAATTCAATTTGCTCTTTTTAATGTACAATTGTAATAAGTGATGATTTTTAAACACTTTAGAAAACTATTTTAGGGGCACACTATACGATAAAGGTTTTATCTGTGCTGATGATCATTAAACTTGTTCAATCATATACCTACAAACACTACTGTGAACTATTGATCAACAATCATAAACACAAATGAAATGAGTGGAAACTGTCAGACGTACGAATTCCTGTTCATGGTTGTTGGCAAAGAAGTGCTGTAGTCTGCAGGGCCAGTCGTCCCGTCTTCGCAGTAACCCGTATGTGCTCCGGGGTCCGCACATGTAACAGTTCCAGGGGTCTTCTTTGATGGCTGCCGCCGCCGAGCCGGCTCCTACCAACAGATCCACACACTCCACACAGAAACACCTACACACACACATACACACACACACACACCATGAGACCTGTGTTTTCCTTGCTTTTCTCTTTTTTTTCTCGAACTCACAAAGCATATGACCAGATCATGGCTTTACATCAAATCATTTATACATTTAGATCTATCATTGCAACATACGATATTACTCATGGTCTTTGGGAGGTTGTCTTTTTATATCCCCCCCTTCATTCATACTGCTGCTGTTCTCAGACACACGCACACATCCTATCCAATCGTTCTTCCTACATACTTCTACACACACACTTTCACCCCCACCCACCCACACACACCTCACTCATTGGTCATCATACATACTACAGTACCTTTCCTTTATAGCTGGTCGATCTCACGGCTCCACTCTTTATAAAGCTTCATAAATCGTAGTCCATACATTATCAAATTGTTTTTCTTTATTGCTGTCTTCCGACATTGTCCTTTCGATATTCAAATAATATTTCATTAATCTTTTCCAATTTTCAAAAGAAGGAGCTTCTTGATTTATTATTTCTGTAGCTATTCCGTATTTGAGGTCCATATTGTCCCTTATCCAATTTTTCAATTGCAAGTACCTAAACATTTCCGTGTCTTTTAGTCCATATTTATCGTTTAGTTCCTTATATGAGCATATTGATCCTTGGTTTATGATATCTGCTATTGTTTGGATTCCTAAGATCTTCCATGTTCCCCAACTAAGTTTTGTATTTTGAATCATTATAGAAGGGTTATTCCATATCTGTATATGTCTTGGAATTTCAATTTCATGTCCTATTTGCTTTTCTATTTTATTCCAGGCATTTAATGTACTGTTGATTATAAAGTTCGCAGTAATACACTTTTGATTGGAGAAAAGGGTGGATAGGTAATTTTTGGGCATTAACTGGTGATTTTCAATATCTATCCATGAACTTTCGTTTGCATTATTTATTATATGGTCGATATAAAACATTTGAGCTGCACAGTGATAACATTCTAGATTGGGTAGATTTAAACNNGCATTATTTATTATATGGTCGATAGCTACTGTCTCAATTATAGTCCATCAATAAGTAACATAATGTCCAACAGTGGTTTCGTTGAAGTATTACTCTCCAGTATTTTGTCAAATTTCGCGTCCATCTCGTCAAGTCTAGTATTCATACTTGTGGTGGTTTGCCTCGCAGCTGCTCCTCCTGATTTTGATTTGTCTTTACCGGGTTCTCCCATGCTGGATTTCCTCCGGTTCACTTGCCGGTTTGATCTAGTCACTTGTCAAAAAGATCTCAAGAATGATCTGAAGCTAGTTAAACCATTTGTTTGAAACGCCGTCAGGAGCCCTCAGCCCTTCTGACCTCCTGCGTCGCGCATGCGCATATTATATCCTCCCCTTGCTTTTCTCTACTAGACTGCTTATGATTATGTAATTTTCTTTTTACAAATGAAGCTTTTTGTCCATCGTCCGCAGCTTTTTGTGGGTTTAATATGCTTAAATTAAAGATACACGGCCTTGTGGGCTTATCTTTACATTCAGATTTAACATTCTCATTTACTGGACGGTATTTCCCTAAAGAGTAGCTCCTACTTTGTTGGGGAAATAATAGCTGGCTTTGTGCTCAGTATCTGAGGCAGATTATAGGATGAACTTTATTATCACGACTCCAGTGGTGGAATTTAACAATGTACATTGACTCAAGTGCTTAAGTACCATTTTGAGGAAATTGTTTTCTTCAGTATTTCCATTTACTACTTTGTACTTCTTCTCCACAGCATTTTAGAAGCCAATATTGTACTTTTTATTGCACAACATTTATTTAAAAACATGAATTACTAGTTACTTTGCAGATTTAGACACAATCTATTTATAAATTATGATTATTATTATGATTAGTATTAGTATAATAATTATTATTAAGCTACCCAGCAGTTGTACAAATTAGCTTCACCTTTACCAGCTGCATCAATAAGGAAATCATCCAATAATATAATATAAATGATTCTGCCTAATGATTATTTTCACTTTTGGTTTTTTAAGTATATTTTTATGTTTATAAAGTAAGATTTTGAATGCAGGCCTTTCACTTGTAACAGAGTATATTTACACTGTGGTAAGACCTGAATCCTTCTTCCAGCATCACTCCCAGTATCTGCTGTGTGGAGCTGCAGTGACAAGGTCAGAGTCTAGATGCCAAAATAAACTGTGTATTCACATAAGTAAATCTGCTCCACACAAGTTGGCTGACTTTGTCCCCAATAAAGGGAACCATAAATCATTTTTGACATTTAGGGGGAAATTGTTTCTGTTGATGTGAAATCCAAAACCTTGTCCTGGCCACAAAAAGGAGCAACAGCTGCTTGCCAATGCCTAAAATTCAACAATTTATACAGTATTGTACTGACCTACAGCAGTTGTTGTTGCCACACATGAGCACTTCCCTGCCTCCACAGCAGATGGTGCAGTAGGACTGGTAGCCGTCGTCATCGTACTGGTAGGCACACTCCAGGAACGAGTTCTGGCAGAGCGTAAAGAAGAGTCAGAGAGGGGAGCGTGTCTTCGTTGTCCACAAAATGAAATCTTGTGTTTGTACTTTTGTTTATTTTCAGGTGTGTCTGTGTAATATCTCAGACATCACCGACATACAACCAACGTGTCAACACTATTTTTACTGCTTTCAAAACAGAGCGAAAAAGCAGGGCGAGCTACAGCCCCACTAGGGAAATGTAACTTCCACAGATATTTGATAGTTTAATTTGTTGTTCAACAAACTAAACTATCAAATATTCTCTGGTTACAGACTTTTCTCTGTTTTACATCACTGTGTATTGAATTATTTGGGTTTTGGACTGTTAGTCGAACAACTAAAGCAATCTGAAGACATGAACTTGGGCTTTGGAAAACTGCGTGCACTATGTTTTTATGATTTATAGGCAGAAGAAATAATTAATTAATTAAGAAAACCCAATACTGAAATGCTCATAATTTGCAGTAGTCTGTATGGAGAAAAGTTCAGTACATGTGTTTGCATTCAGTCACATGCTGCCTGTGTGTATCAATATATCCATTCATTCATTGTACTAGGTGACACATTTGATATCAATATTACAATATCAATAAGAAAATGTTTATATATTCAGTATTAGTGTATATCACTTTATGGCAAAATGTAAAATAATCAAACTGATGTTTAATGTAATTAATTTGTTATGCATTACATCATGACATAATGATATGATCAGCATTTCATAATAATTATATTATGTCATTATATGATTTAATAATAATAATATTCAATTATCACTCATCCCAGAGTCTCTGGGAGGTTTCTTACTTTGCAGCCCTGGCACATTGCTCCTCCAAAGAGAGGATGCTCCAGAGAGACGTTGAGGCTTCCACAGGAGATGCAGATATCTGAACAAACACAGACAGAAAACAAGCACACAGTGTTATATTGAACTCTTTGTTTGGCCCATTGATGACATTAACGAACGAATATACAACAAGTAAGACTTTTACTGCCTGTTAGACCCAAACAACCACAATGTGCCAGTGATCAATAACACAGACTGAATAATTACTTGGCCAGGTGCTGTGATTTGCAACTTTAAGTTTACTTTCCAGCTCATAATCTGTTTTGGATGCCCAGACCCTCACCACCAGTCCATCGGGGAATTATTATTGTAGGTCTTGTTGTACAAATGAATCAGCTAAATAACAAAAATGTAAACAAAAACAAGAATTGGATTCCAGAGATGTTTAGCACTGAACTATAAAAACACTTCACAGTGAAGACTACACTGACTGAACCCTAAACTTCATTTACAATATAAGTAATTTAATTTAGGAGTAACTCTTAAACTGGTTTAAATGTGAAAAACTGACCCTCATTGACCTTATTACTTATTTAAACAGGACTGAAACTACTGATACTGAAGTAATAACAGCCTTGTTAACAGTGTACTAACATTTAAAGATGCCACCAGTGTTATCGCCTGTATTGAGAATGGGATAAAACCTCTGTATGTATTGTAATCGCAGATAATGTAACAAAATTAGATTTTATTTACAAAAGATTGCTTCAGAGGGATAACATTTTCTTAAATAACAATGTGGGTGTTAAATTTAAGGATTTGTCACCTTTAAAACTCATTTAGAGAGAAGATACTTCACAACTGATATGGTTAACACTGTTTAGCCATTAAAATTAAAACAGTCGATCCTTTTACAGAAGACATAATTAATACATAATTTCTTATTTCAAGTCTACATTTAACAATGATGACTGAAAAGCCTGAAACTTTTACCGTCTATGTTCCTGGTCTTCTTTTTTATCTCCAATATGAGTCTCTCTGGAAGAAAAAATACACACAGTTGATAAAACAGCCAAGATTTTGTGTAAACAAAATATAGTCAGGATCTTGTAAAGGTCGGTGTCTCCAAAATGTAAATAACATAGTTATTAATAAAAAGTACCATCATTTTTTATTCCTTTGACATTTTTTCTCTTCACAATTGTCTATTTCTGATATAATGTTCTGGGTGTTTCTCAGTGCGACAAAAGTAACGTCAACAGTGACAAAGACATAAAATATTGACCTGAATATAAGCAGTTAATCAGAAAACCTGTGCTGGTTAAGCGCAGGCATTAAACAAAGACTCAAAAATGAACAAAAAACTCTCCGCTCTTAACAAACTTAAAGGTCAGTGGTATTTATTTCAACATTTTTCTCTAAGTGGAGGAGCTCACTCACTCCTCCACTTTTTTCATTTTTTAAATAAACACACAGAGAAGTTTGAAAATAAGCAGCTTCAGTTGAAATTGTATGTTTACCTCTGGTCCCTTCATCGATCACCTCTCTGATCTTTGCTTTTTCAGCTGCGTTCTTGCGCGGTTTCTTGGCAGGTGGAGGCGTGTACGCTGCCTCAGGTTCAGCCCACATCTCTGGGTACACTTCCTTATATTGATTCTGTTCACCTGAGGGGATATGGACAGAATTAACATTGTCACCCGACCTTCGAGTTTGGCTTTTCAGAACAGCTATATTTAAGCCTTTAGATAATTTGTACAAACTAGTTAGGATACATCTGCCTGTACTGTTGATACAGTTCCTTATATGTTTTTAAGCAAAAAACAAAAAATCCAAACAGTAAATGGGTCCTGCCATCATATTCTTGGAGCAAAGCTGGTCAAATAAAGGTTATTTTGTTGGTTTTATTTTTACTTTCAATGATATTATTTAGGTCAGGTCTTATATAATAATATAATATAACACTGATAGTTCTCTGTTGGTGGATAATCTCAGAATATTTGAATATTTACTGAGCTGAGGGCAAAGACGAACACAGAGAAACTTGTTCACAGTTCACAGAAACTGAACACATCTTAATTTCCTTTATTTTTAACAAGACATTTGCTTTGTTTTGTTTGTATGGTTTGTCATGGTGATTGTTTTTTGTGTGTGTGTTTATCGTCACGTTTCTGTGAATGAAAAAATAAATAAAATAAGTGCTCACCCTCTGGAGGGTCCAGTGATTGTGGACCATTGGGGAGGAAGCCGGTCATTGCCCACTCGATCATCTGTCTGGTTTGAATCTCTACCCCGTCTGCATCATCACTCGCATCACAGGAAGGAACTGGCCTCCCCGCCCGTACGCTGGCCACCTACACGCAAAACACACACAGAACGTGTCAAATAAAAAACATAAATACGGTAATCGTGAAATAACAAAGTGCTAAACGTTTTAGTGTACTAATCCTTCGCTGCTTGTTTTTAATTGTACAGAAGTTCTAATGAGTGCTAACCCAGTGTGACACTGTGGAAGAAGTAAATGACCATGTGTTCTGTATTAACTACAAGAAATAAAAGTATTGCTGGATCAAAAAAAACCCCCACAAAAATATGAGATTGAAACAAACGTACCCACATGTTACCACTTATAAACTGTGGGCAGAGCATGATGAGAACAACACCTCCACAAATGCAAAATACCAGCCAGTCTCAATGCAAATCTGCAGAGGAATGAGTAAAATGTGACCTTTCGACTTGTACATTTATATTATGGTCTTTTTAGATGTTGGATTGCATCTAGATTGCAACAGCAGCGTCAGACATGACACAAAGCCACACACACTACCTGACGTTAAGAAGCAGATTTTAAAATGGTTGGTTTGTTACCTGCAGAGCCTCAAAGATGGCTTTCCGGTACATGGACTGTTTGTTGTAGGTCGGCTGGTGGAAGGCAGATGAGAAGGAGCTCAGAGGCATCAACTTCTCCACACACACCTGTAAAACAAAGAAAAGGTCATTAATATTATCAAGATTAAAAGGAAAACAGATGAACATTAACAGGGCCTTAAAATCCTTAAATAATGTGATATTGTGTGCCACAGTAAGTACAAATATTTTTAGGAAAGATGGCTTAAAAGGCAAGGGGCATTGGTGCAAGATCTGTGTCACGTTTTCTTTGTTTTGTTTTTTTACTAAATTCTAAATTTAGTCAAAAGAAAAAGAGAAAAAGGGAAAAATCAAGGTTGTCTTGTATCAGATCATAGTAAAAGTATCATCTGCTCACTAAAGTTTCTGCTAATTAAGTGTTTATTTCACACTGAAATTTAGTTTGAATTAGTTATGAATGCCTTAACTGGGACAGTTTTCTGACGTCTTTAAAAGCAAAAAATCAGACATTAAGCTACTGCCTTGCGGCCAAATTACTTCCCTAAAAATGATATCTGTAACAACAACAGATGTTCTCTCTTTCTCTCTTACTCTTTGTAGAAGGACTTTGGGTCCCCTTTCTTTGCATCTGATGTGACTCTGCTGGGCATTAAACACACATTATACCAGTATTTGATCAACTTATTTAAAGGATTCCTCAATAAAACTACTCACCACAGAGAACTTTCCATCTCCAAACCACATCACCCAGCGAGTTCCGTCTGCAGCTCGACTTCGGCCGCTCATCCACCAGGAAACAATCCTGCCGGGCCACCAAGAGAAACCTCGCAGCTTCCCAAACACCAGTGTACCGATGCCAAAACCTCTGCCATCCTGTTAGCACACGAAGAAACAAAGCAGTCAAGACAGAACAGACAAAGAGTCCAGTCAAGTCTTCTGTGTTACAAAAATTACAGATGAAAAGCAAATACAAAGGAATGTAAAGGCACAGTTTCAACACAGTTAGAAACTAAAACATTTTACACTGTTAGAGTCTAAAAACGTCGGATGTAATAAAGCAGAAATTACTTTTTCAAGACCAGAGTTGGAAAATTTACAACAGTACAACAAAAGGACTTTTCAGTCAGCGTTTTTCATCTTGCAATGGTTCAGTCCTAAAAGTTTATGAATATTTGAGTTTGCAGCAAGGAAAGCAATGAGTAAAAGATGTTATATCTACGAAGCATCTAAAGATTGTTTTATCTTGTGTGCACATGAAAACAACTTGTGGGCAAAAACGATTACTTTCTGCAAGCAAGACAAAAAGAAAATCTTTTGGGACTTTGGGAGCTCTGCATATTCTCTCCGCTAGTGAGCTCTACCATTATTCCCTCAACCTCTACATCTCTTGTTGTTTTATTAGTTGCTCTAAACACTTAAGATAACTTCTGGAGACCCACTGTTTTTCTTTAACATATCGGGGCCACGCACTAGAAACGTAAACGCAGTAGAAAAAAGGACCGAAAGTCATTCCGAAGACTCATTAATAAATTTACCTGGTACTCTACCTCGCTGGGTGTGGCTTGTTCTCCCCTGGCAACTGGCTCCGGTGTCACAGCAACCGTTGGAGACGCAGGGTCCGTGTGTTGTTGTGAAGGGGGAGGGGCTGGGCTGGCTGGCTCCTCCTCTTTGTGAAAATCACCCTCAGATAGGTCGTCCATCATGTTCATCTCTGCCTCTCTGTACGCCCGTCGCTCTGCCTGTGGAGGAGGAGCAGAGACCAGCGTGAAATGGTGAGCCACCAGAGGAAGGCTGAGGCTGTTTTAAAATATTTTAACACATGTCATTGTGTATCTATCCTTGCACAATGGCTGGACCTGTTCTGAAATCTATTTATGTAAAGTTAAAATCAAGTTAACTACAGCACAAAACGATGAAAGGCTACACAAGCAGGGCTACCATGGGACTGTGCACAGAAACAATAAATAAATAAGTAAGTCAGCACATGGTCTTTAAATGGTTTAATTTGAAGTGGTGAATATTTATTTTGTACTGTGGAAATTAATCCTTAAATTACTGGCTGTAAAAAAGTTTTTTTCTCTAAATACATAGTATGCTTGGATCTCAGCATTTAATTCATTTCTGTGAAGAAAACTAAATGATATTGTTATTATTTAAGATAAAAACCTAAAATAAATCTCACAGGATAAATTCAATGTTGAATTCAGTACTTAGTTTCATGGTACAGTTTACTTTTATTGTAATGCATTGACTAATATAATATAATATATAATCACTTATGTCAGGGGTCGTCAGTTTACTTAATGATAGAAAAAGGTTCATGAAAAGGTTGGGAACCACTGCTTTAAATAAACTCTTGCTGTGGGAACCGTCCACTGGCATTTTTGACCTCATCTGGAATTAATTATAAGACAAACAAAATTATCTGTTATTCTACTACACCATCCCCAAGTCGGCAGTTTTCACCATTTCTGGCTGACGGTCAAATTTTCCTTTGGGGAAAACGCCTCCACATACACTACATAGTCTCCCACTAGCGATGCTACGGTTAGATAATAGATTACTCATTCAGGTCTTTCATCAAGTAAAAATACAAAACATTTACAACATGATCTCATATGTCAGGAGTCGTCACTCTGCTACATTTTCACGTTATTATAAACTGAGGACCAGGACTTTCACTTTAATCGAGGAAAAGGCAACTGGAGGACATTTAATTGTACTCCAGCAACCTTTGACGGACAATTTGGAGAAATAAATCAATAATAATAATGATATTGAAAAATTCAATATTTAGTTTTGTAGAGGTGAGTGTAATCCAAAGAGCTTTAAACACAATACAAATGTATGTGAAATTAGAAAAATGTAACAATCAAACCAATAAAATAGATAAAAAACATTAGAGAGTAAATGCAACAAAATAAATGCTATTTTTTTCAATCAAAAACAGACTAAAGAGGTGCTGTAGGTTTTACGTTTACATCTGAAGATACCAGAATTACTAATATTATTAATACTACCAGTTCCAATAATTATTACTTGTTCTTTAGGTAAGTGTGGCATCCGATTGATAATCCATATTCAGATCAATTCAGATTATGGGACAGACAAGTATAACACAAGACCACTTTGGGTTTTAGTAGCTACTATCTAGTTTTATTTAATGCTTCTATCTGGTTAGATGCTACATTACATTTCGTTGTACTTTCAGTGTGCGGCTGAATTGAATTGAATCTACGTAAACAAACATTATAAATGTCATTTTTAATGCCGTCCACTGTATGACACGCTGTATGAGTCTAATCTTAGTTGAAAGGATGAGTTACAAAAGTTTCCACACTGAACGGTCATTTTGTCAACTATCATATCAGCTACAATCCGTTCTCAGACTTTGACATCGAATGTTATTGTCATTGATTGTCTGACAGTCCGGTGCTCCTGTGTGTTATTCATCCGTCATAACCTTTGTGCTTTATTCCTGTTCAGTCTACAGGCAAACACTGTCCTTCGAGGAGGCCCTATAATTGATGTTTTATGTGGGTCTTTCTAGCTGATGTGGTAGCTGCTCTAGATCAAGGCCTTAGTGCTCCGGGCCGTAGGAACAATCCTTTAATTGTTTCTCTAAACAGGAAGTGAGTGAGGAGAAAAGGGTGCGGTGGGGAAGCAGTTCAATGGGTTCAAAGAGTGAGAGAAGGAGAGAGAGAGACAAAGAGAGGGGAAGAGAGTAAATAGGATTATATTATAAAACTGAGGAATATAATACAGATAGACAGAAAGTGGAGCATTTTTAGTAGAAGAGAGAAGCTACAGTACAAAAGATTAGGTTTTCAAGTTAAGGTCAGTTTTTCTACTTTATGATCAATTGTTAGACTACAATAGTGATTTATCCTAAAATGTATCAAGAAGTATTTAGATCTTGTTTTACTCTATAAAAATATACCATTACAACTTTAAGTTCTGCCTTTATAATGTTGCAGTACAAAAGACTTGGCAGAAAAATGTACTCGAAGGAAGAGTTGACACGTATTTGCTTTCTGGTGTAAAGTTATATGAGAGGATCAATACGTCACATCTCCCAGTTAAATACAAAGCAACATCCAGCAGCAAATAATCTTAGCTTAGCTTAAAGACTGGACAATAGGGGGAAACAAGAAGTGTAAAAGCAGTAAGTTGTGCTTTTACTAAAGGGGGGAGTTATGTGCAGGACTATTTGTTAGCTGGGAGCCACATAACCACCCAATGAAACTGCAGATCAACGCTTTTACACAAAATCTTGACCTTTAAAGTAACTACTTCCCAAAGCTGAGACATAATTGTAGAAGAGAAAAAGTACAATATTTCCCTCTCATAGGCAGTAAAGTAGAACCTCTAAAGTGCCTTTGAATGATGTGTAAGTACAGTACGACAGTCGCCTCTCTGACAGGCAAAGAAAGACAAAAACAAACACAAGATTAAAACTAAAAGGCACAATAGTGCTGACATTGTTTGAAAAATTATATGTGGGAATTCCAGTGTAGAAAGGCTGTAGCGGTGAGCGCTCAGCTTCAAAAGAGACAAATTTAAAAATAATCATGACCTCACTGGTTACCAAACTTCAAGAATCTCACTGGCCCAGATGTAAAATCCCACGACTCCTCCAGAGCATTTCCATGACCTAAAAAACATTCTTTTTTTTTGATTTTGGAGAGAACAATTTGGTTTCTCCTTTAGCTGAAAACCACCGTTTAATGTAATAAATGTGTGAAACAATTTCATGGGAACTCATTCGCTAAATTCGTTCATAAAAAAACTGAAAGAAAGAAACACGCGGGGGAGGAAAAGGGAGGGATGGCGGCATAAATTCAAGTGGAAGAGACAGTAAACGTGAGAGTGTTAGTTCATGACAGTTCTCTCCTCTGGCTGACCCCAAAGTCACAAGGTCTGTCTTCCCTGCTCCTGTTGACCTTTGACCTCATAAAATCCTAATCAGCCTGTTACACGGATCATAGACCGACCACACACACAAACACACTGACATAGTGCACACACACACACACACACACATACGTGCATATGTTGTCACTAGTTTATAAAACATCTGGGATGCTGGGACATGAAGTCTGGATTTTTACTTCCTATGACTAAACTAAAGTATCGGTGCGTCTCAAATCAGAACTATGAAGTACACTCAAACTATGTGACTTTAAACTGTACATTTTAAACCTTTATATTCTTAATATATTGTATTGTATTGTATTGTATTGTATTGTATTGTATGTCTATTACATCTGGAGTATATGTAACGAAAGTAATTTCCCCCTGGGATTAATAAAGTATTTCTGATTCTGAACTAGAAAGACTGCGGTATCCAATGGTTGAGTGTGCTGCCGATAAACACAATGCAATGTACAAAGGAAATGGAGGAACTGTTCACAGCTGGAAAACATTTACATTGATTGTGGTTAGTGGTGAGCAGCTCTTGCCCTGATATCAGACATGTCAACTCGTTTCTATCTTCAGTCATACAGATTGTCATCAACGCTTTCGTAGCCGTGCCAACATGTCAGTTAAGAGCGGAGTGGAGCGAAGTAAAAACAAACTACAATGTCAGGCGATGTTGAGATGAAGGCAGAGTATGAACAGCCTCGAGAGCAACATCTATCTTTTCTGTAGCAGGCATCATTGTTCTTATTACTCCTCCTTGGTTACAGCTTGACAACAGCATTATTCCCGCCAGTGGCACTGACTGGCTAATCGTTGGTCCCCACGACTGTGCTTATTGGATCGAGGTCTAATGTCACACATATTGTATTATTGCCTGTTAGTATAAAAAGGTAAGTATTCAGTACTGTTAAAACAGTATACAGTGACGATAATATATTATATAATATACTGCATAGAATCAGTATATAGTGTAGTACAGATTTTATTTAACCTTTATTTAACCAGGAAAAGTCCCATTGAGT